GCAAACCTAAACTGCTGGGGGAAGGAGATTTACTGCAGGCCAAATACACCTGTCAGTGATTTTCTGAATGATTTCAGAAGCATTGCAAACATATGCATATGCAAATGACGCAAGGCCAAAGCCCTTTGGCACAGGCCCTAAAATAAACTGATAACATTATTTACATCATGCTAATTTGTTTTGCATGGAGACTTCAACAACATTGTTAAAAGAAGTAGAACATCAGCCGTGTCAGCAAAAGAGGATATTGTGTGCTACTGCAGTTTTCTGTTTGTGGTGTGTTTGAAAATAAGCCTGAGGTTTACTAAAACATCTTTTGTGGCTTTCTTTCTGTTTTATGCTTCTTAGAGACCATGTGAGATACCAAAAAGCTGTTACTGTGTCTGTGCGAAGCCTTCAACTCTCTAGTGGAGCAATACTTTCTGCTCCCTTTCATGTCTCTTGTATAAATTACGAAAATCCTTGACAAGAAAGTTACATTTAGCATGCTTGTAAGAAAATAAACAATCGCTTCTTCCAAGTTTCAATTGGCTTGGTCACTATGTGGTTTTGAAGGCTAATACAACAGCATTTCATTGATTATGTGGAAGGATTTTATCAAAGAAGATTTCATACTATGGTAGAAAAAAATGGGTCATGTTTGCAGTACATTCAAAGGGGATTTCCACCTAAATACAAACTAATGATTTTGTGTACATTTTAGTTTCTTGTAATCGTTTTGTTGCTGCCTGTGGGAAAGTTGGAGAATTAACGTAGCGCTAAGTCTTATTTTCGGGGTAGCTACACATATAACTGAATTTTAAATGTAAAGACCGGCCGCAGCTCCCGCCCCGCCCGCACGCCTGCTTGTCTGGCTCCCTAGATGGCATTAGAGCGGAGAGCGGCTGCAGCTCCCTCCCGCCCCCCGCACGCCCACCTGTCTGGCTCCCTGGACGGCATAGGAGCCGAGAGCTGCCGCAGCTCCCTCCTGCCCGTACGCACGCCCACCCGCACGCACGAGTGGAGATCGGACAGCTGCAGCCAGGTACACATAAGACATCCCCCGAAAATAAGACCTAGTGTCTTTTTTCGTGGAAAAAAAATATATAAAACCCTGTCATATTTTCGGGGAAACACTGTAGTACCCTGCGATTAACGCACTGTACCATGCAATCTCACCTACCTTGCATTCTGGTGTGTTGCATTGCCATTCATTTGAATGGTAACCCAAAGTCACCTTCCACCCACAGATCGTACGCCCACACCGGAACGTGCGGTACCCTAATGTCGGGTATTCCATTGCAGTGTGACTTGGGTCGCGACTTAATGACCAAGGACAAATTTGGGTCCTCAGGTTACACAGGTTGAGAACCACTGACCTCTTTTAAGGCCCATTTGCAGGGTTTTGCACCGCCATACAGTGAAACCTGCTGGGATGACTTACTTCCCATGCATGCAGACGGGTGTTACTTTGTGCTGAGACTGTGTACTATGATATTATACATTTGTGACAGAAGAGACATAAAGACATTAATTAAATTCATGAAAAAGCCAACCTGTCAGTGTTAACTTCTCCTTTTAAATGAAGAAAATGTTTTCAGTAGGACTTTATGCAGTGGTCTGACTCTCACATCATCACTACAAGAACTTGGTGAAAAATGAATGCAACTCTGGATGGAAATAAAGGTTGTGACATTGCATAAGCTTATCGAAACAATGCCACAGTGAATGCCTGCTGTAATCAAAGGCACTCCAATGAAATATTAGGGTGTGTGACTTTTTTTTTTCTGGCCAGACAGTGTATAAAATAGGTGTTATCCCAATTTGGCTGCTAAAGTGGAAATACACTTTCACATTTTCAGAATGGGACAATAAGAATGGGATGCCTCTCTTGAAATATAGCATTTTCCTTATGTATTAATTAACAGCCTGCTGTTCCCAAATGATCTTTTTCCTGTGAGCTATATACATTGCAGAATCACAAAAGGAAGTAGATGTTGCTATAAATTATTCCATTAATTCAACAATCTACTAACTACCCTGTCCCACCTTTGTCTAGCTGGAACCACCCATCCTGAATCTTTGTGCTGCTACAATTCACTGTATTTGGTGCATCACTCAGGGACAACACATCACACATACACATCATGATTTACTTTACTTTCCTAACAGGGAACAGTACAGCTAAAGAATCATAAATAGAAAATGCTACATTACTTGATTTATAGCACAACTTGATTTGGACACAACACCCATCCCCCCTAGTCCTTCTTTAAAAAGTTTTTAGTGTGATGATCCAGAGGCCATTACTTCCCTCCTACAAAAAATGGAGCTCTTGTAATATGTGAATGCAGTTCTATGCAGCAGTTCTGAGTGTGACATGACACCCTGGGCTCACAGGAAGTGGGTTGAATGAAGCTGGATGTCATTTAACCTGGAAGAACAGCAGTAACAGGATGAAAAAAAGGGTGTTTGTGTGACAGTGTCAGGAAGAACAAGAGTATTGCGAAAGCTGTATTGTTATTTTTAACTCCTATTAGGCATTTTTTTTTTTCAATTAATGTTTTATACAATTAGAGACTGCAGAGCTTTTATTGAGTTCAGTCAGGCAGACCCTGTCTGGAAAATCTACAGTGAGATAATAGTATCAATGGTGAACAGGTAGAAAGCAGAGCTTGCCTATGTAATTAGAAAATATATTAACCCCTATGTATAGTTACAGACTATACAGAGAAAAATGAAAAAAAGTTTTTTTTCATTATCAAAAAGGAGAAAATGTATTTTAAAAAAACATTACATCATGCAGTTAGTTATAATGCAGTATAACTGATATAGTATAAGGCTCCATTCACACATGAGTGGTTATTCGCGCATATGAATCCGCATGGAAACGTGCTTAACATAAAAACTAATGCATTGCAGTGTGCATTGTTCAGGCTATTGTGGCGGCCTCGCGGTATGAAACCGCGCGTCCTGCAAATTAGCCTGAGCACGATTTTATGGGCGGATCCCACCCGTTACGGCTATAGTAGTAGCCACAGACGCGCTGATTCCGCGTGTATGTTACCATTTACATAGTTGCATAGGTTGAAAAAAGACACAAGTCCATCGAGTTCAACCTATATAGATATTTGTGCTAGGGATGCACCATTATATCGGCCGAAAATGGCACTTTTGGCTTAATGCCGAAAGTGCCATTTTCCTGCCGATACATCGGCGCATCCCAGGTTTCTTTCCTCCCCGCTGGGCGCTGCTCTGTGTCCCAGCCGGGAGGAGAGAAAGTGTGACGGCCGAGCACTGCAAGAGGAGAGCGCTGTGAGTGGCCGGTGTCTCTCCTCCCACACCGCTCAGCCGCCTATCACAGTCCGGCAGAGCGGTGTGGGGGCGGAGGCAGCCCGCACTATCACAGGAGGCTGAACTCTCCTCTGCTTGATCAGCCTCCTGTGACAATGTGTCAGAGAGGAGAGCGAGAGCAAACACTCAGTGATCAGTATAAAAAATGTGAAAAAAAAATTCGGTTTCGGCCTGACAATGTTTTTTGTTTCGGTTTTTACATTTCTATTTCGGTGCACCTCTAATTTGTGCGGTTTCGTTCCATACCGAAAACGCTACCGCTATGTGTGACTGGAGTCTAAATCTAACAGAAAGCAATAGATAATACATATAATTAACTGAGTCAGGAAACAATTGTAAGGAAGGGGGAAAAAAATTAGCGCAAGGGCATCTAGTTAAAGTGACACTAAACTCAGGAGTTAAACCTTAAAAATACATTAAAGTATGTTATTTGTGTATCACTCAGCTGTGGATTCTCAAATCATCTCTTAATTCATGCTGACACTGTCCTTCCTTCTGGAGGGTGGCTACTTTTTGTTCCCCATGGTCCCTGTGTGTATTGTAAAGTAGACACCGCTCCAAGCTTGCTCCCATGATGGACTACAATCTCCCGTTTAGTTTACTAATTTGTATTGAGATTGTAGTCTATCACGGAAGTGATCTTGAAGCAGTGGCTACTTTACAACCCACACAGGAAACATGGGGAACAAAAGTAGTCACCTTCCAGAAGGAATGACAGTGTCAGTATGAATTCAGAGATGATTTGAGAATCTACAGCTGAGTGATACACAAATAAGATAAATTTGTGTTAATAGTTAAGGTACTTGAATGCATTTTTAAGGTTTAACTCCTGAGTTTAGTGTCACTTTAAAAACAACGCATCACCCATATACGCATAACGGGTTACATGACTCGGAATGGGCTAACCATGGGTCCCAAACCTTTTGGAATTTAGCAGGGCAACCCCTGTGCTCATAAATATATATATATATATATATTTTTTTTATAGGGTAAGGTGGCATTAACCTGGGCATTCAAAGAGGAAAAAAGGTTTTTAAAACATTAGCACTCACTGATGGCAAAAGCAATTTCATGAGATGTTTTCAACAGTTATGCTTTTTCCCTATATCTAATACTTCTCTTTTAGCTGGTAGCTGCACATCTTCAGAAGTCTCCCAGCCAGACTCTACTTGTGAACTCTATTCATTCCTGTGAATAGTCTGTCCATGTAACTCAATTATTCGGTGGACAGCATAAGGAATAAACATTAACTCCTTTTTTTTTTCTTTTCACATGCCGCTATATATATATATATATTTTAGATTTACTTGAAGGTCAAACTATCCAAACCTGACCACGTGAGTGCATGGGGCAAACCAAACAATGTATATTATATCATTTTGGGATTTTTGTAAATTGTACAACCTAAACTCAATGTGCTGGACAATGACTTTGTAATTAGAATGCATATGAATTGCCGTGTGCAGGAAAATGCAAATGAGCATTTAAGTTTGTTACCTTTTTAATTAACTTGTGGCTGACATTGTTTACTTCTGGTGCATTGGCCAGTGTGAGAAGTAGGTGGAGCTATCATGGTAAATAATCCTGCATTTCACAGAAAGTGTCTCAGATGAGATTAGGATCCATCATGTTCGCAACAGAGTCACAGATTCTTTATTTCTTAACAGTGCCCAATACCAATCACATCCAGCAGAATGGACAGTGGCTGAAGCCTGCACAGAGACTTGATCCCTCACGATCACCAAAAGCTGCTCACAGGTAAATGTAACCATGACAGGTATTGAATGCAGTATTTATTAGGACCTGTAGTAGCAGCATTTCTGAATTTTAGGCAGTCGGAGCAATGGCTGCTGATTGGTGGCTGTGGGCTACTTTACTATGCCCATTGCTGGTTTCCTTCATTTGCACCATGAGGGCTTGTTCACACCAAATCCAGACCAGATCTGCATGAGTTTCTGCCTATGCAATGCAATGTGTTTTGCTGTGATTCTGACACGTTCCAGCCTGTTTTTTTTAAAAAAGAAAAAAAACTTTTTTTTGTTAGCCTAAAATGGGCTTTCAGGGCGTTTGCATGCGTTTTGGTGTGTTGCAGAGGACGTGCTGCAGTTTTTCCACATGCTCTGGAACTGAACGCTGTGGTGTGAACTAGAGCCCAAAATACCATTGGAATACATTGGATGCATTTTTGATGCGTTCTGTAACTGCTCTGCATCTGCTCCGCACTTGGTGTGAATAAGCCGTGAGAGTTATTGTTATATTGTATTGACTTATATTGTTTCGGCTCTAAAAACAAAACAAAAAATAATGCATTTCTTGCCCTTAAACTATGCAAGCATGTTTTTTTTTAGTAAATAGTAAAGTACAGCAGGCTTGACAAATTGCTATTAAAAGGATGAGCGGAGGTTGTCTTCTTGATCAGAGCTGGTGTTCTCAGTTCTTGAACTAGCTGAGAAGCAAACGTTAGCCACTCGCATATGTATGGTAGTTTGCATACAGTATTTGCATTTGTGTAGACTTTTGCTCTTCTGATCAGATAAAGGATCCTCAAAAGTAATTAACAGGTACACCCTGTTTAGATTGGGGCTGTGCGTGGTTGACATTTTTAATCAGTTGTCTGACCATTTAATTAGCACCATGTTTTTAATACACATCAGGGACTTAAAGTATAATTAAAAATCCATGTCTCCCAACACACTCCTGACCGGAAAAACCCAATATGGCAGGGTGGGTGCAATAGCAACAACGGATGCCTCCAAAAAAAAGTATAAATAAAAAATAGTCACTTGCACTCCAAAGCAGATTCAGTCAATCAATTTATTGACTCTGGTACTACTTCATGACCTTAATGTGCTTCTTCTTGAGCCACTGCTTTGTTGCCCTGGCGGTATGTTTTGGGTCATTGTCATGCTGAAAGATCCATCCACGACCCATCTTCAGTGTTCTGGCTGAGGGAAGGAGGTTCTCATCCAATATTTTACAATACATGGCCCCCGTCCATTGGCCCCTCAATGCGGCAAAGTCAGCCTGTACCTTTAGCAGAGAAACAGCCCCAAAACATAATGTTTCCACCTCCTGTGCTTGACTGTAGGGATGGTGTTGTTAGGGTCATAGTCAGCATTTTTCTTCCTCCAAACGTGGTGAGTCAAGTTAATGCCAAAGAGCTCAATTTTGGTCTCATCTGACCGCAGCACTTTCTCCCAATCCTTCTCTGAATCATTTGGATGTTCATTGGCAAACTTCAGACGTGTCTGTACATGTGCATTCTTGAGGAGGGGGACCTTGCGGGTGCTGTAGCAATGGTGTGTTTGGTGACTGTGGTCTTAACTGCCTTGAGATCATTCACAAGCTCCTCCCATGTAGTTCTGGGCTAATCCCTCACTTTTCTCATCATGCTCATCATTACCCTATGAGGTGAAATCTTGCATGGAGCTCCAGAACGAGGACGATTGATGGTTATTTTGTATTCCTTCCATTTGCGAATAATTGCTACAACAATTTTTGCTGGTTGGTAGGGGATCAAATTCCTATTTTACTCACTGAACTGCAACTCAATATATAACATTTGTACCATGTTTTTTTTCTGGATTTTTGGTTGATATTCTGTCTCTATCGTTTAAAATACACCTATGATAAAAAATTAGAGACCTTTTAATTTCTTTGTGAGTGGGCAAACTTACAAAATCTGCAGGGGATCAAATAATAATTTCCCTCACTGTACCTACTTCTAGCAAGCAGTAAATATATGCAAAAATCTAAATAAAAACAAAAGTTACCAAAAAGGTTAAAACTTTCCTGTGTCTCCGCCACGCGCTCCAGTCCGAAAATCTAAAGATTCTCGGGCGGTCACAAAGGATCATGGGGCGGGCGCATGCGCAGTAGAGATCTTCGGATGGAAGAAGAGGAGAGACACAGTATAAGTCAATGCACGCAGCCCGGCAGCGTGCACCCGCACAGACACTGTGGGACACAGGAGACGCAGCAGTCAGCGCTGGATCACAGCGCGGCACCAGCGCTGGAGGGACTCCTGAAAACGAATATCACTTTAAGGCTTTACAAGACAAATTGAGGAAATAGAAGGGTTTTTGGAAGGGAGAGATATGTTAAAATAATATTTCAAAATGTATTTATGTTAATTACTATTATACATACATTCATGATTTAAAACAAACATAATAGAACAAAACAGATCCCTGCAGAGCATATGTTTAAATATACATTGCTTGTATGTTTCTAAAATTCATTTGGTCCGACATATCATGAGGTTATTCAATATTGTCCAAGTATGGTTACATTAGTGTATAACAAAATATTATCCTAGGCGTAGCTTATCTTAATAGGCCCCGACGCGTTTCGCCATTGGCTTCATCAGGGGGCCCACTGAAGATGGACCTATTATTAAGAAAATTGTCTTCATTTAGACCAACATTACATCCAACATTCCTTAATTCATATGTCTACATCTATGATTCATATAATGTCATATTTCCATGTGTAGCCCCATCTGGAGCAGATGTATCATATGTAGTTATTCTGAGGACATCTAAGTCTCCACTACTCACCATGCAGGGTTGATTTGCGATATGCAGGAGAAGTACCCGGAAAGCCAAAAAAGGGGGGCGAGCGGCGGATGACCCCACCGTTAGCTCCACAGCCTCCCTGGTTTGTCACGCCTGGGACCCCGGGGTCATATAGGGAGAGAGAGACACACGGCACCAAATCGTCCAGCCACAGTCACCTGGAGTAGTTTATTCTAAAGTGAGATGTTGAAAAACACTGTATTTTTAGTCTCTCTATTCAATGGTATCTAGTCGGGTATGAACTGTATTCTCGATGTCAGCCAACAGTCCTTCTCTACATTTTATCTATATGATCCATGTTGCTTGGATTATATTTGTTTTTAGTTTCTTAGTGTTTGTTCTTTGGAATTCCCACTGGCAATAAAGCTGGGTGTAGGAAATGTTTGTCCCGATTACTATTCAGTGTGTACAAATGTGGAGTGAACGTGGGGACGGAAGGTCCGTACGTAAGAAAAGTAGGGTTCCTATAGGATTTCCCCTCCCCCCCTCCCTCCCCCACTTTCCTATAGGAACCCTACTTTTCCTACGTACGGACCTTCCGTCCCCACGTTCACTCCAACCACTGAACCACCACGTTCAATTCAATAAACAATTCATCCACATACAGCTACCTCCTCATGTATCACTTCTCCCTCCCTTTTAGATTGTAAGCCCTCACGTGCAGGGCCCTCCTTACCATCTTGTCTTAATTTGTATTGTGATTGTAATGTCTTCCTTATATTGTAAAGCGCTGCGCAAACTGTTGGCGCTATATAAATCCTGTATAATAATATAATAATAATAATCATGATTGTAGAATAGACCCAGTTATCTTGTTACATATAACTATGTTTAAGGTCTACGTTTAGGATGTATTCCAATACTTTTTAAGTTTGTTTGATGCCAATAAACTGGTTATATAAAGCTTGTGGAAGGCCATCTAAAAAAAACAAACCCAAATCAACTAGCAATTATTTTTTTTAATAATTGTTTTATCCACTGTGCAGCATGCTTTAGATACACAGTGTAGGGTAGTTTGGTAATTCAGCCTATAGATGGTAATTCAATCTTTGGGATCCCCAGATTTAGATTTTGAATCTTTTGGATTCCAACAGGAACCCCATCTCTAAAACCCTAGAACAATGTGGTCTCAAATAAATGTCACACTGACATTTAAGACCCTATGATAAAATGGTTTGACCTATCCTAATTGTTGTGCTTTCAACTGCATCATGCTTTATTTCATTCATCTTATTGTATTATTATTCATGGTACGTGTGTATTACAATCTTTGCCAGGGGTCCTCAAACTCTGTAAACAAAGGGCAATTTATTTTAGACTTTTGGGGAACAGACTGTGACCTTAAGCTTGGTGGTCAGTCGTGGTACAAAATGCCCCAAGTTTGGTGGTCAGTGGAAGTAAAAAAGTACCTAGCATCTGTGGTCAATATGAGAAGCAATTGTGCCCCATCTCTGGTCTCATTGTAAGGAACAGTACCACATCATTCGTGTTGAATGGAGGAATAGTACCCTGTCTGTATCAGTAGCAGGAATAGTGTCCCATCAATGGTATCAGTGGGAGGAATAGTGCCCCAACGTTAATGTCAGGGAAAGAATAGTGTCCCTACGTTAATGTCAGGGAAAGAATAGTGCCCCTACGTTAATGTCAGGGAAAGAATAGTGCCCCTACGTTAATGTCAGGGAAAGAATGGTCCCCCTACGTTAATGTCAGGGAAAGAATAGTGTCCCATGTTTGTCTTAACGGAAGGATTAGTTTCCCATTTTAGTTGTCATTGGGAGGAATAGTGCCCCATCTGTGGTGTCAGTGGGAGGAATTGTAGCTTATTGTTTGTGTGAGGGGGTGAAATAGTGCTAACAGACCAGTTCGGATCGAGCAAAGAGCCACATTCGGCCTGCAGGCTGCGAATTAGGGACCACTGGTCTATGCTTCGCATTAGATATACACAGAATATTTTTCAATAACAACATTTCTTCTTCTTTTTTTTTTTTATCTACAGACTCCATAAAACAAAATCTGACATTACTGGCATGGTGCGGTCAGCAGATGTGATCTCCACTAACAAGGCAGAAATGCTGCCTATTCCTAAATTTGGACTGCGAGATAACTTAATTAAGTCTGAGCTACTAAAAAAAGAACATACCTACATCACCATCCAAGATTTTCGGTACTGTGATCTATTTTTTTTCTTGTTGCCTGTGCAGGAGGTAGAATGCTTTTCTAAGCATGAAAGAGGCTTGGAAAATGTTTGTTAATGTAGTTCAGTTTTCAAAAATTGATGACAGTCAGAGATAAAGCTCTAGTAATGGACGTATTGTATTTATATGCTATTTTAAATGCTACACTGCTTGCATCTAAAAATCAATTTAAGCATATAATAATAAATACAGAGCTGCATTCAATTGTATGTATTTTTATATCTGCCTGTAGCTTAGCTTTACAGCTCAACTTTTTATTTGTATTTTCAGATAGAAAAGGGAAGGGTTAGGCTGTCTGTGCACCAGTGAAGGCAATGCTTCTTTGAGATTTTAAATGCTGTGTCTTTATAAAGATTTCTGGTCTCCTCCTATTCTGTATAGAGCAGAAATCACCATGTCCATTTAATCGGACCAATCGTCAATTGTCACGTACAAAATAGCGACGTTTCGGGACCACACAGGATCCCTTCACCAGGGCGACAATGTTACAATTGTTAAAATGGTTCTGGTGATTTCGGCTTTCGACTGTATGTTGCACGGCGCCATCCGTTATTGTCACTGCAAGCACCACTACAAGTACTTGGGCCGGGGCGCTGTAAGAAGTGCAGAGGGACTTACTACTTTCTACTCCTATTCTGTATGACACCAGTCAACTGGACAGGAAGTAAGGGGAAATCTCCCCTATAGGGATGATACAACAGTAAAATCCTGATAGAAGATGTAAATCTTTCTCATGGTATTAAAAATAAAATGTGTTTTTGTTGCTGTCAGTGTGCCCATTGAGGGGTTTAACCACACTTCCTCTTTAGTTTGACACCTGTCAGATAGACAGGAATTGAGAAAAGTTTTACTTACTTCACAGAAATGTTTTAAATAGACAGTAAGGAAATGGCTTTATTGGAGACACATTAATTACATTTTTAAAAGGCTGTTACTCCTCCACACTCCAAAACTAGAAAATAATTGTGCAGAAGTTGAGCTTTAATTAATTGCAAACACTACAACCAATCTTCACAAATCTCAAATGATTAGTTCTCTGGGCTACCTAGAATCTATTTTGTTTCAGCAAAACAGATGGTATTATACTGGTACTTTATTGCCTTCTTTTTATTTACAATGTTGTCTATTAAACGTTTTCCTGTGGAAGCAATAAAAGGCAGTAGTGCTTTAGTGTTATCAAGGCTTAAACTAAGTCATAAAATCACAGATCCCTGAACTCACCTCTGTGGTGACCCCTGGCAGAAATACACAATTATACAATATATGACCAAGGACACCTGACAATAGGATCTACTATATGGCCAAAAGTATGCAGGTATCCCTCTAAATGATTGAGTTCAGAAGTTTCCAGTGAAGGTAATGGTACAGCTACAGCTTCCCTTTTACATTTTAGAAATTGTGCTCTTTCAACCTTGTTGTAACAGTTTAAGGAAGGCTCTTTTTTCTGTTCCAGCAAGACAAAGCCAGGTTTACAAAGACATGGTTTGATAAGTTTAGTGCTGAGGAGCTTGAATGGCCTGCACTGAGCCCTGACCTCAACCCTATTGAACGCCTTTGGGATTAATTGTAACACTGATTAAGAGCCAGGTCTGCTTACCCAACATCAGTACCTGACCTCATAAATTCTTTTTTGGCTGAATGAGCACAAATTCCTACAGACACACTCTAAAACCCTGTGCAAAGCGTTTGCGAATTTAACATCTTCCACTCTCCTGTAAAGGGGGCAGTTCCATATTCTTGTCCATGGTTTTTGAATGGGATGTCTTACAAGCTAATATAGGTGTGTTGGTCAGGTGTCCAAAATCTGTTGACCATGTAGTGTATCAACTATTATGTAACATTTTTATTAGAGTTATATTCAAAATACAGTTCCTCATATACTGTCACTGTGAGGGGGAAAAAATAAATCTTCCTGTTAGCTGTGTGAGATTTAGTTTTGCAATATATGCATCAAGATTATGTGTGGCTTTTGTGAAACAAACGTCTTAGACAAACACTAAACTGCATTGGATTATTTAGACCCAAGCAGCGGTTTGTAGTGTATCCTGGGAAATGTGTTCTTGGTTCTTGAGCTGTTCACACTTTCCTTATAGGTAATGTATAGTGTTAATATATATGTTCAGTCAGGTAAATATGAAATATTGCATATGCATGTTTCATATTTACCAATTTCTAACCAGCAAGCAATCTTCTAGTCTGTTTACAGAGCCCAATAGCTCAATTTCACATTTAACAATCAAACAACTGAAGTTATGACACACCCCCTCCCTCCTCCTCCTCTGTTCAGACCAGATAAAGTTTTAGTTGTAGGAGTCTAGAGGTAAACAGTGTTCTCTTTTTAGAAAAAAACATAGTGTCCTGTTATTGCGGTGTTATGGTTACCCCCTGTATTAAAGATTATTAATAGTATTAACCACTTGCTGACTGGGGTGTTTACACCCCCTTCCTGGCCAGGCCATTTTTCAGTATTCAGCGCTGCGGTACTTTGACTGACATTTATTCCGTCATGCAACGCTGTACTGAAATTAATGTTATACAATTTTGTTTTAGGGACAGGAAGATCTTTCTTTTGGTGGTATTTAATCACCCCTGGGGTTTTTATCTTTTACTGTATAATGAAATAAAGTACCGAAATTTTTGTAAAAAAAACTTTCCCCTATAATAAGTTATGAAACATTTATTATTACCCAACTTTTTGGTAAAATATAAAAGATAGGGTCACGTCGGGTAAATGGACATCAAACACGTCAAGCCTTAATATTGCGTGCACCTGCTAAACCGCAAAAAAACTACCATACCCAAAATTAGCCATCGGCGACAATTTAAAAGCTTTTACCGCTCATCAGTTTAGTGTTATCAGTGATTGATAGACGTAATATTATTGCTTGCACTCCGACATTGACGGCGATATGTAACATGTGCAGCGCAATTGTTGTTTTCACGCATTGGTGCACACGACGCGTATTTAGGTTTTATATGTGCAAATACGTGGGGGTGAGGGACTTCAACATTTTGGGGGGTTTTTTAAAAAAAAAAAAATTTTATGTTACTTTTTTTTTTTTTACACTTAATGTTATTGCTATCAATGGGGCTAAAAATCCCCCTATGTGATAGCACATGCACACTGACAGGTCCTCTTTATGGAGACATTAAGGGTCTCTTAAACCCCTGATGTCACCTCGCAACCCCCAATGAAGCTGCTGAAACAGAGACCTGCTTCACCAGCTTCTTCTCTGGCTATAGCAGCCAGAGAAATGACAGCTGAATGAGGAAGTGATGTAATACACACCCCATCCGCATTCAGAGATCGGAGAGGAGTTCGGCTGCTGAGAGCCGCCAAGCCGCTCCTGGGCCTGAGGAGGGGACAGTGGAGCACGGGATAGAAGGTAATGGCGGTGGGTGGGTGGGGGGCTCGAGCAGCACTGAAGGAGGGGGGGCTCGAGCAGAAAGTAAAAAAGCCGTATATGTACACTGCCCCCCTGGGGTGTGTGAACCTGTCCGCACTCCTCTATTTAACAAGGCGATTTTTAAGTTGACTTTTACGGAAAAAAGGCAGTCTGAAAAATCTCGGCCGAACAGTGGCTTCAGCCAATCTGCTGCAGTCATTGTTCTGGAATTCTGACAGCAACAGGGGGAAGTGGGGATTTACCCACCCCCATGCCCCATCCTTCAATTCCACATCCCACTAAACAGAACTGAGCGGGGCTGAATGTGAAAGCACTGATAGTGTATGGCCAGCTTAAATGCAACGGTTATCTGTAGGTTCGCTGGCCATGAAGTTGGTTGTATCAGAAAAGGTCACTTTCCGCTATACTATATTTTAAATAGGTTACATTTTGAAATGTTTAATATTCTTATCGATCCATAATTACTAGGGATGCACAAATACTTTTTGAGTACCAGTGCAGATACTTGGCATTTTCATGAGAACTACCAGGGTTGTAGCTGGGACCTAGCTCTGGCCCTCCACCACTGTCTTGAAATCATTAGTCTGTATTGTTTCAGAAAAACTGTCACATGACAATAAACAAAAATGTATTAGTACTTGTACTTGTAAGTACTCGGCAAGTACCAGTACTCATACTCGCAAAACTGGTATCTGTGCATCCCTTTATTTATATTTATAAAAACAAAATCATACATTAAAACAGAGATGTAGAAATCCCAGGAGCTCCGTGTGCTCCCTACAAATGACAGCTGCCTAATAACTTTTACATTTTTCTCTAGTGTAGTCTTGGAGCTCAGAAGTATTGGTACATGTACTTGTACCGAGTACTGTACTTGGTATCTGTGCAACCCTAATAATTACCACTAATTGATTAATAATGCATTCATATCTTATGCCATGTTATATAGTGAAATCTATTTATTACCAGGTAATGCTTAGCATATGTACTGGAAATCTCATGCTGTTTGACCTACTGGCATCCTGTATAAGGCAGCAGGGAATTGTCTGTAGCTACCGTGTGTAGAAACCCTGTGACTTAGAACATCACATTTCCATCTCCTACCCACAGTAACATTAACCATATAGAGCATATAATGGCAATCGTTAAATGGGCAGAGCATGGCCAGTGTGTTCTCCTGAATCCCTTCATCAGACCAGTGCTAGCATTACTACTCTGCTGCCAGACAGCTTGACAGGATCCAATTTTTGAAACAAAACTCTAGCCAGTATAAGGTGAAAATTAACATGGTGATGACACTTTCAGAAGAGAAACCTCTGGTCTATTTACATTACATGGTATTTTCTGGGTGGCTGTAGTTCAGCTTTAAGAATGCTACGGACTATAAATTACAAGGAATTGAAACAGTTTTTTAAAGTTGTCAGTAATTGTTTCCATGATCAATAATAATCAGTTCATCAGTGGGTGATGCAGCTTGGTTGATCATGTATGCTGCATTCAGTACCTTACTCAATGTACCATGACTGAATTTTAGTTCTGTACTTTGTGCAGGTTTTTTGTAGGCACATACAATGTGAATGGACAATCACCAAAGGAAAGTTTGCAACCATGGCTAAGTGCAGATGGTGAACCCCCTGATGTATACTGTATTGGGTATGTATTATCATTTATGAATTTATTATACACGTGAAGTAGATTGACCCATTCCCATGCTACCCATGAAGGTAACCACATCCTTGATTGGCAAGCAATAGTTTTTTTGTATAAAAACAATCAGCCTTAGGCCTTAGCTGTTGCTGCGCTCCATACATAGGACCCTTAGTCCTAGCTCACTTCAAAGCTCGGTCCTCTTATAATATTCTGTTTTTTCAAAAGCAGCAAAACATCCAATTTGCATGGTTAAAATGCATACATGTATGGTGCTATTCCTGCCAAAGGATTATCATTCTGTTGAGCAAATCTTTTGGCTCGGGCACCGATAGGTTAGGTAAGTGACACCACTATTTGCATTTTCAGGTGGCAGATGATGCAGAAGAAATAAAACAAGAAATAACGATAATTCTTGCTTGGCTGGGTAGTATGGCTAAGATGTGTCACAAGAATATTTTGCAGATAAACAAGTACACAAGTAAACAAGTACACATATATGTGTAGTTTTGCTCTATCACGCAAATGCAAAAAGGCTATAGTTGCACATTTTAATTATTTGGCTGAATTTAAAGGAAAATGTCTGATGAAAGGTTCTCTTAATAGTGCACTCCCCCCCCCCCCTCTCAATCTCACTCATAATGCAGGACCCCTTTGTCAAATGGCTGTGAAAGCTCCATGTTGAAGCTTACACAAGGTCAATGACTTACTCTCATGTCCCACTTCAGTGTCCAGGCCTGTGAAGTGAGACATGCAGACAGGAACATTTCATGCTGAAAGGAAAAAGAGGTCACAAGCTTGCCCATACTTGAAATTTCTGTGTATTTGTGAGAGCTTTGACATGCAAACATAAAGATGTAGAAGGATAGGGAGCTAAGAGAACCTGTTATTGTGAAATAAATGGGCAGAGTAACACATTTTCTTTTAATGGTCATTGGTGATATTTCACTTGCAATTAGACTGAGGGGCTGAGTCATCAGATTGTTTCCTAATATATCTTTATTAGGGTGTGGCAATGCCACGATGTAATTTGGCAACATTGTCCCCAAGGACACCCAGTTAGAGGGGTTAAGAGCTTCCAGGAGGTTAAAACTTTTGCAGGGAAGAAACTGGCTTTTATGTCCCTTCCAGGTTTTCCTGACTATAGTGGGATGGAATCTCTATTCCTGGGGCCAGGTTTTGCCATTGACCAGTATAGGTGGATCAAGTGGCTGGGAGCAGCCTTATTAGGAGTAGTGATGAGCTCGGGCGTGTTCGCAAGCGCCTCGTGCCGTGCCCGCCAGGAAGCAGGCAGCACACAGGGCCAATCACAGGCCATTTTCCGATCTCTGCAGCTGCGGACCGGGAACATGTCTCAGTGCCTGTGATTGGCCCTGCGCGCTGACGACTTCCTGGCGGGCTCGGCACGAGGCGCTTGCGAACACGCCCAAGCTCCTCACTAATTAGGAGTCTGGACCAGAGCTCAGGGGAATTGTGTGTGTGGGAGGCACACGGACACAGGCAGACTTGGATGCGTGCTGGACGCATGTGCAACAGCCAGGGGAGGCTGGGAAGGTCGGTGATGCTAGGACCTGTTGATAAGTACTATCCTTGTCGCACTCCTTACCGATATGTCCCTTGTAGTTTGGGGTGCTCGCAGTGACCGCGGATGGCGCCGCGAATGTCAGCAAAATTGTAGAAATGTCACCAGCACACCAATCCTTTTAAGATAGCAAAAGCTTCATTTATTGAAGTTTTTTGTCATATGACTAAACAAGCGCTTTTCGGGACCGCGCAGGGTCCCTTCATCAGGCTTTAGCATTGGCTAAATGCTCAATGCTAAAGCTAGGACCTGTTGGACACACTACTGAGAGAGCAGTGTGAGTGTGCGTGCTGGACGCACGTGGAAAGCCAGGGGAGGGGTCAGGAAGGTCGGTGACCTAAGGGACCTCTTGGACACTGCTGAGAGAGTCAGTGACCCAGGAGGGGGAGCAGTGTGAGTATCACACAGGTGTGATGAGAGGCTTGGAGCTGAGGAAACTACTGAGCAAAACTGAGGACAGTATATGTTGAAGAAAATTATGAGAATGTTGGCTCTTTCGTGAACAAAAGACTAACCTTTATGTTGCTTCAGGAGGCTGAAGCAACAGGGAAAGTCTACCCGGTTGATGGAAAGAGATGTTTTGTGTTTGCCCTTAATAAACTGTGTTTTACTTGCATTTCCTGACTACATTTGAGTGTCCTTCTTACAATCTATTGGGGACCAATAGCTCTACTCACACATTGTACGCATTCTGTTACAAAATGGTGGCTCTCAGTTGTTCCCTCACCTCCTGTTGTAGCCCTTACAATGTAAACGAGATAAAAACCCATATTAATGAGCAGAAACCATTCCATATTGCTGATGCAGATTATCAGACTTGGGAGTTGAAGTGCAGAAATACCATCCTAGGAAAATTATGAGAGTTTTGGAAAAGTATTTTCTTTAGTCTTTCATGTGGTAGTAATGCTTAAATAATATGAAGATATGTCAAATATGACAATTATAATGAAAATAGAAAGGTTGGATAGGCATGACAATTGAAAGTACTTTAAGGATACCCAATTTCCTAATATTCCCATTCGGAAAGGAAGCATATTGAAAAGTGAGAAGTTAGAAAGAAGGAACAAACTTAAATAAATTAAGGAATTTATTATGTAGGCTGAGTTATTCAGGGTGCTGCTTTTTCACAATACAGGAAGTCAAGAAAGGAGATGAGTAGCAGACTAAACTCTGTGGTTATCACTTGCATACATGTGCAGTAGTCTGTGGTGGTTCTGGTGACATGGGGAATCACAACACTGCCCAACTGTGAGCGGGCCAGGAGGTCTGAATGGGGATATAGTCTGCTTTTGAAGGTTCTGCTTATGAAGGCACCAATTATTCTTCTTTTGTCACAGATTTCAAGAACTTGACTTGAGCAAGGAAGCCTTTTTTTTCAATGACACCCCCAAGGAAGAAGAATGGTTCAAAGCAGTATCTGAAGCATTACACCCAAAAGCCAAATATGCAAAGGTACTGATGTTATATACTTGAATATCTTATATTCTTATACATTGGCTAACATAAACAGCAAGTAAAAGTTAAGATTTGTATCAATTCCTGTAAGCGTATCTAAACCCAAAAGCAAAAAAAATCACAGATTATAAATTCTTTCATGTGGTGGCTGCATTTGTTTTCATTTTTTTAGTCTTATTTCCCCTTATATTCACCTGGTGATCTGGCCAGTAAGTGTGTTATTTTTCAGTTTTCTTTACAAGACCAAGCTGTCCAGCAAAAGTGGCAGGTAGAGAAACCATTTAACACCGATAAGGGTACTTACAATGCTCAACCTTTTATTCATTTTAAAACTTTACACTAAACGGGAGAAGAAAAAACTGTTGCTGTAACTACTTGAAAGGTGTTAGCTAGAGTTTGGTTTTAATTTGTTAGCCAAGTTCATCTAAATCTGCTATTGCATCTAACACTACCCTCTCCACAGGGATACAATGCTGCTGTCCAAGGGTGGCTACATTGCTCCTCCATGGAGCAGAGTCACCCTTAGGCCTCATTCACACAGCTAACTGTCGACCCGTACAGATCCATGCTGCGTGTGATTTGTACGCAGCACCCTGTTCTTCTCTATGGGAGTACGTGGCCATATGCCACCGTACGCTCACCCGAACTGCACATCTGTGCAGGTGCGGGTGTCCGTGCTCGGACGCAGACAGGATCCATCCTGTCTGCGTAGGAGTACGGGCACCCGCATGGATGTGCAGCTTGGGTGAGCGTACGGCCGCGTGCTCCCATAGAGAAGTTCAGGCTGCTGCGTACAATCACACTTGCCATTCCCTCTGTATTGAGGCCAGTTGCGTTGCGTTTAGCATACACGCAAGCTTAACACATTTTTTTGTAGCAGTGTCTGTTTTTTATGTGTTACTTTGCTGTGCATTTTCCTTTTTTTCACAGCAGGAACCAAAATGCTTTATTTTTCTTCTCCTTCTCCTCAACGTGCGTGTAGAACTTGCAACTTGCTCCAGCACACCATGATAGTGTAAGGCCCCATTCACACCTGTAAATTTAGGTGCATTTAGGGATTCCTGCATCCGGAATCTGTGTTTTCCTGCAGCAGGAATCCCTAATATGCGGTATACAAGTGGCAGCTGTCACCCATTCAAGTTGTCGATCGAGTGAGAGCTGCTGCATGTAAACGCCTGCACACCACATGTAATGGTATGTGATACGATTACATGCGTTAGAAATCAGTCTCTCTCCCTGGATGAATCGATCATGCATTCAGGGAGACTGATTGATTCCTAACTGCATGTAATTGTATCACATATGATTACATGCGGTGTGCTGGAGTTTACATGCAGCGGCTCTCATCTGATCATTAACTTGAACGGGTGACAGCTGCCGCTTGTGTACAGAAGATTAGGAGTTCCTGCTGCAGGAAAACGACGATTCCTGAAGCAGGAATCCCTAAACGCACCTGAACTTACAGGTGTGAATGGAGTATAATTTGACCCTCTTGGAAACAATGGATTTGGCTTGTTATTACCTTGGTGCGAATGGCCCCTTAAAATTACTTGTGCTTAGAGGTTGGTGTAAGCTCTTTGCTCAGCTTCTCATGACACGGCTAACAATTTCTGGATGGCAACTGAAAAAAAAGCTGACTTAAAATTGGACAGGTAACACTGAATTTTAACTTTTGGGATACAATTTCATGCAATATCAATATCATCATCATATCATAATTTTACCTTTTTGGATACAATATCATGCCATTGGATAGAACTATTATTTTTTCTCTGCTGGCTGAGGTCAACCAGTAAAAACGATGGATAATTCCATCCAATGGGGAGGAGGGAAAAAGTGAAAGTGAGTACATAAATAGTAGTGAATGTAAACAATACAAATCCCATCAAGGGCTTTACCTGCACTTGTGATTCGTTAATTGAGGTATAATATACTAACCTGTGAAAACCCTTTTATATTTTTAGATAAAGCTGATAAGACTTGTTGGAATTATGCTGCTGTTCTACATTAAGAAGGAGTTAGCTGTTCACATCTCGGAGGTAGAAGCAGAAACTGTAGGCACAGGAATCATGGGTAGGATGGTGAGTAGAGCGCATAACATGCCTTCGACATTTTGGTATTGCTAAATGACAGGTGTAGTGAATGTAAGTCGGCCTGTACAGGTTGCTTTTATTCATTCCATCAAATGTTTTAAGTAAGATGTGTGTATTTTTTCTAAAGCAACCATTTTTTTTAATACATCTGTACTATAATACCAAAATACTGTAATAACCTGTTGCGTAGGAAATTGACAACTTTATGAATTAAATGGTCACCTTTCTTCTACACGCCAAATGGCTATGGTTCGGAAACTCAATGGCTGCACTTCACTGCATAGGTTTATTTTCCTAGTTCAGGAATACAGATGTTTTTTCAGGAATACAGATGTATAACACTTGCAGCGGAATATAATTAAAAAAAGGATTGACATTTAAAGTTGAATTACACATTTTCAGAAGTATCATTTTATCGAATTTTTTGTTATTCACGGTATAGGAAGGTTAGCCTAAAGTAATCCAAAGTAATGCTTGGTGTATAATCTGATACCCTACAATATTTTATGTTCACCTGCTGAAAAAAAAATGATAAATAATTTTACATTTGTATTATTTAGTTCTGAACATAATGCATAAAGAAATAAAATATGGGGAAAACGCTATATATACCCTATAAGACTTTATAAGTAAGCTAAGCACAAATTGCTGAAGATCTAAAGTCCAAATGTAGCTGATATGGTCAACAATTGTGAAAATGTATTAATTTCACTAAAGTAGGAACTTCTGTTTTTAAAACCAGTAGTAATTTGTTAACGGAGATGAGTCTGGGCTTGGCATGAACACAGTATGCCTGAGTTTGCTCAATCCTGCAAACTCTGACCTTCACCCCCTCCTCCCAACCCAATCTGTTGTGGGGGGGGCATGCACCTGCCTTTTTGTTACATATAGCTGCAGGGAATGCACCTCCCTGCAACTGATTGTGTTGGGAAAAATTGGCGGAGTTTTAAGTGGCTTAGGCAAACTCGGGAAAACTGAGTTTGCACCAAGGGAATTTGTAGATTTAGATACAACAGTCATATTATCTCACTGTTTAACAGCTACATATCAGCAACACAGGGAAGGAATTGTTTTTAATGGCTAGTCTGACTCGTATATTTTGCCTTGTGAGAAGTGGCATTGAAGCACAGCCATTGTATAGCACTGCCAAGTGAGAAGCAGAGTCTGCATATGTAAAGAACAAATATGGTTCCCCCACAGTAAAAATTGTCATTACAAATAGAAACAAGTTGTTAAAACATTAACACACTTTAAGATTATTTAACTCTTGCCGATTTATTTTATGTAAATATCTAAAAAAAAAATCAAAGAAACTTTAAAACCACTATAAATGTACTTTGTTTCATTGTTTTCATTAATGTGATGTTGTGTTTGTTTTTTTTAAGTAGACTCTTAAGGTGCCCATACACCTTGCGATTATATCGTACGGTAATCGTGGGAAATCCAGCGATCGTACGATGATCGCAAGGTGTATGGAAGGCGTGCGATTCTCGGCGGGTTTCTAGCCTGCTCGTTCCGACAACTGCGGAACGGGCCGGTGTGCGTACGCGCACACTCCCCGTTCAGCATTGCGGTCATCGGAAGCCCGCCCCTCAGCGGGGCGGGTTTTCGATGATCCCAAGTACGATCTGCCTGTCCGAGATGGGCAGATCGTACGAGCTTTTAATAAGCTTACGACCTGGTCGTAAGGTGTATGGGCACCTTTTTAGTTTTGATTCCTCCCTTTGTTATCTCCAGTCACTGTTGACAGTTTGTGAGAATATTTAATTTGACCAGCTGCAACTCCATAACAGCCTATTCAGGCTCATGTAATGGGGCACCTGTAAATGTTCATGAAATAACAAGTACAGACATAGCATTCCATGCCAGTGTAAACAACTGCATGTCCAACAACCTGCTTCAACTTGAAACTGCAATTACACGGATGACTGAGATAAAGAAAACATGAACTTCTTTTATCGGTGTAAAAGGCTTCCTTTTCCACTCTGACTATGTGACATTTCTCAATTAATGTTCTTTGTCTTTTTTGAGCTGTTCATCATTTTAATATTATTTTGCAGGGTAACAAAGGTGGCGTAGCTGTTCGTTTCCGGTTTCATAACACTCACATTTGTGTTATAAATTCCCACTTGGCTGCCCATGTTGATGAATATGAAAGGAGGAATCAGGACTTCAGAGACATCTGCTCCAGAATGCAATTTCCAGAGGTGGATCCAACACTTCCTCCTCTCACCGTTCACAAACATGAGTATGTTTTTTTCTTCTTAATCAGATATCTTATTGCTGCTACTGTAAATATGTATTCAAGAAAAGAAGGACATTAGGTGTGTAAGGCCTGATCTATCTTATGTGTTGACTTTCTGATGAAGTATAAATGTCAGAATGTGATGTCAAAATCTCTTCATATACATTCCACTGGGGAAGCTTAAAATCTTTCTGGTTCAGATGAATCCTGAACCTTCAGATATTGTTGCTGGAACTGACTCACCGTTTGGGGTATGTGGTTCTAGACACAGCTTTGGCCAGAGTATTCTTTCCACAGTTGAAACGTTAGACACTCTGGTCTCAGATATGAACTCTCAAGTCTAGGAGCCATCTGACTCTCTTATGAGAGTCCCAGGTCTGTTGGTAACCTTTTTGGAGGTAGTTCCATTTCCTGGTTTCACTCTAGACCTCTACAATACAACATTCTGTGGCGATTTGGCTGTCCTTTTTGTTTTTGTTAAATTATATTTTTTTAAACAACTTAATGTATAGTGCTTTTATGTTGCATACTAATATGAAAGCCCAGCAGTACCTGCATGCTTGTTGGTAGCTATGTGTAGCTGACTAAGATGTTGCTTCTGCTAGCAGAAGTTCCCTTCAGAGGGCATTAATTGCCATCTGCTGGCTGAAAGTGGTACATATGAACTATTTACTGTGTATGTACTATTGCATATTTACCTGATAAAAAAATGTTTTTAAATGCATTTATACTACTGACCATAAATTAACATGTAAAATAATACTATATACATATACATTATTCTCTTTAAATGAATGTGCTCTGGATTCTTGTTATGCCTGTGTCTCAGCTTTTCTCTCAAGGGCACTGTTACTAAAATATAATATGTAAAACATTACATTTAATCACTTGCCATCCCCAGTCTATAGAATCGCATTTCCCTGCAAATGTCAAATGCAATTACAGTATTAAAATATAATTGATTTAATAAATACATTAAAAAAAAAAAACCTTTTTTTAACACTAATGCCTGTTTGTCAGCCTAATGAAAAAACTGGGTAGAGTTTTTAATAAAGAGTGTACCAAATCAAGGTACACTCCC